TATATATATATCGATACGCAAACAAACACAACCACACATATATATATATATATGTATATATATATATATATATATATATATATATATATATATATATGTGTGTGTGTGTGTGTGTGTGTGTGTGTGTATATTATATATATGTATATATATATATATATATATATATATATATATATATATATATATCGATATATATATATATATATATACCCACAAACATGAACACGTAGAAAATAAAACATATGTGTGCCCAGTGTGCGAGTATGATCCATATGTACTAACTGCGGACGTGTAAGGCAGAAGTAGCAGAAAGTGCTTTTAACACGTGCGTAGGCATATACACGACATCTGGTCTATTAAACCGCCGGTCCTTCTCTCATTCGCGCATATGCTTGTGGCACCCCTGTTGATTTTATTCATACAAAACCGCAGTTTCTCTAAAGTCATCTGGACTGGTGTACTATTCCGGTGTGTATTAATTCCGTCCGTTATCTTCTGGCGCCGAAAGTTAGGATTGCTAATTACCGATGAGCTAGAGCACACCTTCAAGATACCGTACATCAACAAGGAGGTGTGGATGCGTGCGCAATGTTGTATTTTATTCTGTGGTCATCCAATGATTCTTGCCCTGTAATTTGTTTGTTGTAGTTTCGAGTATTCTTCACGGCGAAGATGATTTATCACGTCTACAATTTCAGATAATCTGTTCGTGTAGCGACAAAGGTTGCTTGAATTTTCCACAAGCAAGTGGATAGGCATGGGCTTTGTCCAGGTTCACTCACAATGTGCGTCTGTGATGCTCTCAGGGACGACGCAAGCGTTGCGTCGTTGATTCCAACTTAAAAATATTATTAAATCATTACCTTGATATCAGCGGGCATCATCACACTGCGTCTCTGTCGTTGTGACTCATCAGGACTTCACACCGTGATCGCTTTCAGGTGAGCAACCGATTATACTACCGAGTGGTAGCGGCCCTCTTAGACATGTACGGGATACTAACCTGTATCTACATCTACGCCGAAGACGGCAAATTAATTGCGAATATCCGGAATACGGAAGACTTCTGGGATCCCTATTTGAAACAAGTGGATGCTAATATCTTTAACACGCCGATAGATATCGGACTGGGCGCCTACATGCGAAGTTTAACCTCTCCGACATTTTATAAGGTATGTCTCTGTATGTGACCTTCCGCTTGATCTCGCCTTGGTGTAGGAGTAGAGCAACGTATTCTGGAGTGTGAGTGCAAGTCATCCTAGCATCCCATTCGGTTAAGAGTCTCGACAGTGTTTCGTATTACTGGGCGTTGTTTCTGTGTCAGTGAGAGTTCTGCGAGGCGCAACCTAAGTAGGTCATGTGCTTGATAATGATGATGCCGGCTTACATGAACCGAAGTACTCGTGCGCAAGGCACTTTTATTTCATTTCAAGCAACTATTTATACTTTGATTAGGTGCAACCATCCCACATCATTGAAACTATTTGTGTATTACACAATTTATCTTTAGATCTATACCGTAGGTTAGTTTAATAGCCTGCTGTGCCATGCAATGCTCCATACCACATTTAATTCTGAACACATGACTCCATGCTCATATCCTGGGCTGAGTTTTTGCAACTATTTCCAATTTTGTTCGAGTACCTCTAGTTAACTTTATCTACTCTCGGATTCAGTTTTCCTTGTGTCTCAGGCAATAAACACTCCATATTGCCTAATTACTGTACACTGACTATTGGAGTACATGTATCGTCCCCAGGTCTTAGGGGAGTATCTGTCCTTCACGTATTTCTTCTTCTACTTCATACTCGTGGGGAGTTGGTTATTGGCCTGGTACTTCACCGCACACAGAGAGTACTTTGATAGAGTGGCGGCCGCGATGGCCATGACTTACCTCGTATGCGAAGTGTGCTTTCTATTCATGCCCGCTGCTGGGCCGTACTGGAAATATCCCCATCCCGAGGTATAGTGGTGCCTTTGTCAAATGGTTTTGGATAGTTCGAGCACTCAGATATCGCGATTTGTAGATGCATAGAGGTCGGTCCCACGAGTATGCTTTCGCTTTCACACATCTTCTTGTCCGCATATATATTTGTGCTATCGTTTTTATATCTACAGTTGGCTTTTGTTTGTATGAGTATACACATCTGTAGTGTGTATAAGGCAAAATTTAAACAGCAGCGTTCTTGCAGCTACTGAGCTGTCAGGTTATAATGAATACCATACACTCAGTTTGTGTTGTGTCGGTCATAGTAGCAGTCCTGCAATCGTGCCCCTACTTTGTACTGAAGAGCTGATATGATCATCAAACTCCCGTTGGCCGATCATGCATCCACAAGCCTGTTTGGTATGATAGTACACATGATGTCAGATCCTTGCGTATAGTTTTGATATTCCTCACATGAGATTAAAGGGCTGCGGCTATTGTCGTCTTTGATTAAGGTGTTGTACTAAGCATTACCATACTCACACACGTTAATTGTTACACATCCAGGCAGCAGAGGTGGGCTGGGTTTTTTCTTACTTAACGCACAGAGCTGTAGAAGGAGGGAGTAGTTCAGGGACAGCGTTCCCGTCGTCTCACTGTGGCATCACTACGGCCGGTAGGGTGATTGGTTATATCCGTTATCACTCATCTCTTTCTATGCAGTGTGCAAGTACGTGTAATGAATGAGCGAACGACCCGATGGACTGCAATTGAAAATAGCCCTCCCAATGTCGAGGCGTTTCGCAGGACCTGGCTGGTGTTGGAGACTATTTGCCATCAGCGATTGCATCTAGCTCTTCGTTGTTGTTGAACTCGTAAGCGTGACAGGAATATCATATCTGAAAGCTAACTTGAACCCTTTCCTCTCTCTCACACACACCCATGTAGCCTGGCTGTCCATGTACATTTACCTTCCTCGAGTGGGACTGGCGTATGTGCTAGTATGTCCAGGATTGTGGTTTGCTACCATGTGGTGTGGCTTCCACTATGGTATTGATTCCATCGTCGGCATCGTCGTGGGCCTTCTGTGGTATGTCGTCGCTGCATGTGATCGTACAGTGCGAACGTCACTAATAGTGTCATCTCCGGCTGGCGACAAATTTCAGTTGCATCCACTCTCGCTTTGATACCATTAACGGAGATACATTTTTCTGTCGGCCATGCCGTCTGCTTGGTATTGTTCCCTTTGCCTATTCATCTCGTCGTGGCAAATCATACGCTAACTTAAAATGTCGAATATTTTTCTTCTCTTTTTTAAATTAGCACGGCGTTTGCACACGCCTTCGCACGTGTTCTACCGTACCGAGTGCCAAGCAACGACCCATCCTATTCAATAGCATTTCGCAACAGACACGGGGCCACGCCTAGCTTCTATATTAGTGCATACGGAAACGATGGTATTTTGCGCCAATCCGAAGTGATCGAGGTAAGTATAGATCATTGTATATTAATCACGTGTGCGCTTGTTTTGAATCCGGAGTGGTATAGAGACGATGCCTTGAGGCGAAAACATTGGTTGTGACGTAATGAATGATGTTCAGAATGATCATTGATAAGTTTCCACTAGAGACTTTTAGAAATCTGTAAATAGATCGATGCGCAATGTCACACACTCTATTTCGGATTCGTTTGCGTAGGGAGAAACTGAGCCAGATAGCCTGTTGGGGCCCGGAGAGAATACTTCTGATCCCGATCATGGAACAACCCACGAGAAAATGGCAGCAGACGATCGATCACCACTATTGCCCAATCTGAGAAATTAAACCAACGCATCCCTGGAGGAAATAAATTATTCGAAATCATCAAGGCTGGACTCGGGAAGCATCAGCTTCATCAATTACACGAAATTGTATCGCATGAAATAGTCATCGCGATTCTTTTTTTCTTCTGTTCATGAATTCACTTGAAGTTCAAAAATAGGTCAGCTTCAAAGTTCATCGAGTACGTTGAGTGTGGGTATAAAGGATTTACTCCGCACAGTCTTCTATACTTCAAAAGCTATCACTGCCCAGGGCGCTCAAGTGTATAGTTGGCGTAGCGGTCTCGGAATACAAGATTGTAATTTTGCCACATGTATTTTAAACTATTTCAAAAACTTCTATTTAGCAGCAAATGTATGACTATTTATCTCCGGTCACGGACACCCCACAGGGCCACAAGAGAATAATTATTCCTGTGAGAGTTGGAATGCAAACTATAGCGACACTAGACACTTGAGTGTGAAAGCTTTCGATGCGACTTGTTATTTCGTAGAGGTGCATGAATACAACTTGTTGATCATTTAAGGTATGATACAGCGTGTGTGTATATGTGTGCATACACACTACATATAAATATATATATATATATATATATATATATATATATATATATATATATTCATATATGTATACAGATATATACACACATATATATATCTATATATATATATATATATAGATATAGGTATATATATCTTTATACATATACATACAGATATATATATATATATATATATACATGTCTATATATAAATATACATACATACATACATATACACACAAACACACACACATGTATATTTATATATATATGTATATATATGTATTTTAATATTCATAATACATAATACATACGATAGAGTTCTATAGGCAGGCCTGATATATTGAGTCAGAGCCACTGCTCTTTATATTTGTTGATTTACGCATGCTCAGCTAGAGTTGACTTCAATTCATATATGTATCATGCATACACAAACACTTTTGTGTTTCATACATTCAGACCAATTCCAGCTCCAGATTCAATAAATCAACGAAGTGCAAAAGCACCTGGCTCATCGAACAGGCGCAAATTAGCCTGCTTGTCTATTTGAGCGACTGAATTTCTCGAAAATGTCTGGTTCGACACACGTGACCTATACAACTGCCGATTGGCGACGGGAAGGGCTCAATGGTGCACTAGTATTTGCTGCGCGAAGTCCATACTTTTGCATTGCTTCCTTTCTCGATTCCATAGCCAGCACCCTCTCGTCGTTTTTAAATTGCTCCCAAACACCAGAATGAGATAAAAGCCGGATAGTGTTCACAGCTAAAGTATCCATATTGGCAGCCAACTCTTTTGATGCAAAAGCTCGCTTCGCATCGGCAGTATGAGAGTTGTGTGCCGCCCTTTTACAATCGTTAAGTGCAGATTCTACATTAACTCTTAATACATGGGTCACATTCACGCAATGTGACCCATCTGTTCTTATAAACTGCTCGTACAGGGCTACCAGGTCATTCAGATAGTACTTCTTCGCGCATGTTTCCACCGCGTCTTCCTCCTCTAATTGACCCGTGCTCACTGCAAGACTATCCTGACTTCTCCTGGACTTTTTCATAGCTGAACTATTATTCCTCGACCTCCGCGGGTCTAAAGCGGTTTGAGCCATTCGATGAGCAGCGCACAACCCACCCAGAAACATCACGATTTCATCGCAATAACGGGCCTTAGATATCTCCAGCAGAATATCGTATAACTCCTTTTTGTTCATATAATACCCCACACCAGCCAGTGTCTTGTTTCTTTGCGTTATAAGATCCTTCTCATCCTCGTCAGATAAGGGCTTTGTGCCTCTATATTCACACTCAAATTCATCGTACAACGTGTTCCCGTACATCTCGATGGTGTATATTGACAAGAGAGAGGTGTACCCGCAAAAGGCTCTAGCGTCCATCTGCGCACCATTAGCACCATAGAACGTAGCTACCGTCCCTACCGACCACAGAGTTGAGATGATCGCCAATCGCAAATTCGAGAGGTATACATTGCGATCCGGATACGTCCGAATATGATATGTGTAGTACGCAAAAAAACTCGTGTACACGATGTAGTAAAGGTATGAAAGGGGTACATGAGCCAGCCATTCTGGACAGGTGGGGTTCGGCGTATCCACGGCAAAATTATGCGCGCACAAGGCAAAGGCGGCAATCTCTGGTATATTCACCAGGAGCATGAAGATAAAAATTACAAACATGAAAGTTCTGTACCGAGGATTGTAATCACACCGCCGGTAAATCCTGTACAACGCCCGAAGCCTGATAAGTACAACACTAGCGAATACCGCCACGGAAATAAATAAGAACAACTCCACCAGGAACAGCACCAAATTGCCCGCTGGCGGATTGAGGGGAAATAAGTACAAGCATAGATTGGCGGTCCAGCATCCACAAGATATGAAACCCGTAGATGTGTACCCCACAAGGAAAGCCTTTCGGTACGGGGGAGTTCCTCGCAAACGGTATTCCCGAGCAGAAAGGAGGCTTATAGCCAACAAAACCACTGCATTCCAACTAAAACATGCCCCATATATGATTCGTAGAGTGTCGAGATTCTCCATGTAAAAACCATATCCATATTCCATTATATACCATTCAGCATCGTCCGCACCCTGAATCGGCGACTCACTCAAAAGAGTGCTTAGATACAATGCAAGACCGACTGGAACGACGACGCAAATCATATCGATCACTGTCAGCACTATAGATCTTCGTTTCCAACCCTTTTTCGAAGTATCATCTTCGATAGGAATTAAACCTGTCGATTGTTTCACGTCAGTCACAGATATAGCTGTACTGTCACTGTCAATCATACTGGTATCAGATACAAAACCAGACCGGGCCTGTAAGTAAATTTTTGATCGCGTGTCATCCTTTTCCTCCCGCATGTTGTTGGGACTATGTATATGGTTCGGTACCGGTATGTTCGCTCGATTAGTGAAACGTAATTTTTACACTTTCAGCGCTTAATTTAAGTACGCCTAAATAGTCCTCGAATACATGCAACAAATAAATCTCATAGCATGAGTGAACCGATCTAAGTAGAAGCAGCAGCCTTCGTCAATCCTGTCACTGTATTTATGCACTCACAGTGACACAGTGTTTTCACAGCCTCACAAGTTTTATTCTATTTTTTAAAAATATGTAAATAGCATAATAGCAGTCACAGGCTCATCACAGTGTAGCGCAAAAAAAATGGCCGACGCTTTTAACCAATAGCCAATAACCACTAATTTTGTTCTGGTTTGCCATTTTTGAAGGAAATGCTCAATCATAGTCTTAACATTCATATATTTCCATTGGTTACTTATTTTCGACATACATTTTCTTTTAAAAAACAATTGTACGTATTTTTTTAAAAACAAATAAATCTTATTGTTTTTATTGGAATTGCTGTATGGTATAAACATTTAACAGATAAGTTCTATTTACATATAAACGTAATCTTTTCTACACGGGAGTTTCAAAATAAAATTAAAAACAGTACAGTACATCTGTATGTATCTATTTATTTACAAATGTATTTTTGTATGTACATAGAACAAACGTTTAAAAAAAAATACCTCCTGTGTAACACCTGGCTTTTTTTTTTTAAAGACAGAAGTCAGAACCTAAAGAGGGGCCGTATGTATTGATACTACTAGTAGAGAGTAGCGAGAGAGAGAGAGAGTGCTCAGACTACAAAATACTAATATGTAGGCGGCATATGTAGCCTTCTAAATTATACATAGGCGGAAGACCTCCTACTCTGTAGAGTATTTACTATTTAGAGTAGAGACTACAATACCAACGAACGAAAACATTTATAGCTGAACGTTATTGCATCGAAATCACATATATATTTTAACATTATTATTTAACTTTTTTTTTAAAACAAATCGGTGCCTGTACGACAGACTGACAGCCGAGAACTCGAGACACTCGATAGGCCCGGAGACACGGACAACATAAAATATTGGACGGAGAAGGGGGGGGATTTTTACTATGGAGGTTGACCCAGAGGTACCTTACAACACAAATCCCATTGGCACTTAGATATGTAGCACAAGTTCTTCATTTTGACGAATAATAAACGTATGCTTAATCTCATCCCGATCCGACCATTGGTTCAAATTATGAAGGATTTCAGTTTGTACCAGAACTGGCTCACACGTAAGCGTTATACAAGAAGAGAGAGTCCATCCATACTTTTAACCGACCTATCTGGCATAACATATGTAAATACTATGGTGCACACACTTACAAAGAACCGGGGTAACACATACTGCAGGTGCTTGTGTTGTCCCGGTCTCTGATTGAGACTTAGGATTCAAGAGTGGAATCTTGGATTCCTCAACCTTCTATTTGAAAGTCTCGGATGGTGTCCACTTGGTTGTCCCAACTAGACCTATTCGACATATTATAGTATGTCGCCAAGGCGTCTTTTGGACTACACGGGTACCCTGATAGAGAAAAGTATATACCTTTCTATCCACATAGATCGGCTCACATTGTATCATTGAGATCAACTGTGGTAGCCATTTATCTGAGTGTCTTAGGGGTCAACACAACGTGATGGTAGAATCTTGAATATGTACATAATTTAGCAACTGTGGTATTAATAGCCATGGAGGATTTGCCCAGGCATTCTCGTTAGACAAGTCCATCTGGAATCTGTCTCCTTTCAGATGTTCCAGTGTCCGGTACCTCGGCAGTTGTGCATTATGTTGAGCGGCAAACATATATATGGTATGTGGTCCATGTATGTTGTCTGCGATCTTAAACACCCTAGGATTGGCAATCCAATCCGTAGCTAGTAACTCCCTAACCATCTTGCTAAAGTCTGGTACGAAGCGAGACAACATGTCGGGTAAATGATTGTGAATACCCGGTATGTGTGTTATGCCGAAAGAAAATTTTGCGAGGACAACATGGTTTTGATTCCTCCTAGCCAGCCAACTAGATGTGCCTGTCTATGCATTACACGGGATGAGCTAGGTACCAAGTGATGGGGTTTAGGTACAGATGTATAGTGCACCGACTTGGTGTTTTGCTTTAGTTTTTATTTTCTTAAGTTGGACTTAGAGATATTTTATTGGTTAGTTTGAATAGGTAATAGTTTTGAGGCGTGAAATGTAAACTAAGCGTCCAAAGAAATGGTATCTAGTCTTCTTAGCTAAAACATAAATAAATCTAGACCGAAGTAGTGAGTGATTAGAGCGGAGCATATAGACAATAGTCTCAGTCTAAAATCCCCTAATACCAAGGGCTGAAGCTAAACTTTTTAATGTTTTGCATTTTAACGTATTAATGTATTGTCTTATTAACGTAAACGTCTTGGTATCGTATAGTCAGCCTAGAGAAGACCGACTTTTACAGCTAGTAGGAATCAAAACCCTGTTGTCCTAAATTTTAACAACTCTGATCCTGTCTTTTTCTCAGTGGATTATCTTGCTCTGAGATCATTATCGAATTATACCATAGGTTTGTACCAACAACCATTTTATGCTTGAGAACCTCTTTCCTGGTACTCCCATTAATTAGATATTCCCAAAGTGTCATTTTCAGGTGTCAGATTGGTGTCGTTCCTATATTATGTACAATTCTAATTTCAGTGGAAAACCCAATCTATATTTGGAAATCCACCCAATTATCCATAGTAGAGTCCTATACTCTACTGAGTACTGTCACATGTTCAGAATCTTGAATTTCTCAGTTCTTGTTCATGTCCAATTCGTTAAACGTATTCCAGTATTAAAAGTAATAACGTTAATACGTTTGTACGTTTATAATATACGTTAACTGTGCAACTACTATTAGGAACTCGCTATTTTTACACATGCTTAAGGGTGGAAATCACAATCATGATAGCTTGTACATGCAGTGTAAAAAGGCAGTTGGTGCACGTAATCTAAAAGCAGCGAGTCGTGTGATGGAAATGTTAGCTGTAAGTAATGTCAACTTCATAGTTGCACAACAAGAGGCTGAGCACCAGCTTGTGTATCTCCAGAAGAAAGGTCTTGTAGATTATATTATCTGTAATAATAGGGATAATATTATTTATTTC